GACCCTCAAGGATCCGATGATGAACTTCCGGACTATCAACAAAGCCAGGCGGAAATGGCAGCGAAAAAGAGACAAGAAGCGTCAGCAAGGGCTCGCGAACTAGAAGCGAGGTGGAGGGGTACGCGGAGATGAATACGGCCATCGAGAAAGAGATCATCCCAACAAATCAAAACCAAATATACTGCATAATATCAAAGTTCACGTTCCTTCCGCATGCGAATGTTAATCTCGTCAGCCTTCGCGAAGGCTGACGAGATATAGGCTCCAGACCCAAATTTGGAGTCACTACTCCATATCGCCGGCTTTTCGATGGGCCAAACAATATCTAGGCTGCATATAGCCCCGGCACATCGCTCATGATACCTGACTCTAATACATCATCCGTGTTTCTCAACACATATTGATATCGAAGTAAACCATATACGCATGACTGCTGCAGTCATGGGGATGATGCAGCGTTGCGGCACCGCCCCCGCGATCGTCTGTCCCGGGCCGGTCTATCGTTCGATTATATGTATTGCCTACATTGGTGTCACGCCAATAGAACTTGTAAGGGTCAGATATTTACCGGAAAGGGAATTCGGCCCCTACATTGATTGACACCATGCGTACGAAAGAGTAATTTGCATGGATACAATTTCCAAAGTGAATACTGGTGTAGCTGATAGTCACGATAGGGAACATGGTCAATACTGTTGGACAGGTGTCTCCGGGCGGGTATCGCGCTAGCACACCTAAATTGAGCTGAGTAGTCACCCATAGTACATCCCTTCACGCCTAGCATGTTTGACGTTGTCACTTCGCTGTAAGCAAATTGGACATTGTTCAGTAGAGATCCGGACAGCTACATGAGATGTGACAAAGACATGGAAATATGCCTTGCGGACAGCCTCGTGCGGATCGAAAAATTGACTGCGTGATGTACCTGGCCGGTCATCATCCGGCTTGACAAGAGAGCGGCATGAACATGGTCGGTGATACGTACTTTTGAAGGCTGGCCAATCATTGAAGTTCTGAGTCACACCCTTTCCATGCCACGTTTTTGGGGCTTATCTAGGTACCGTCACATTACTAGGTTCCGCATGCTGTGAGAAAACGAAGGCTTGGAAATCATGTATGGTACACTCCTACAACTGCGCGTAGTCAACTGACCAGTCTACACATCACTAACCACGTTAATGGTAACACGGAAGTACCTAAGGACCAAGTAAATGCACGTAAGTCTCGAAAGAGAGCAAAGTAGATGCGGGGAGTTTGGGGGCGGAAAAGCTTATCATGCGCACGTTGTATGCTGTAGCATACCCAGCGGGCCAAGATCTCGACCCAGCACTTTCGACTGCATAATGTATCAATGAGGTTCTAATCACCGAAAAGTACAGTATAGCCAGTGAGTGTCCAAGTGGCAATGCTACACACCATACCTTTTTGTAGGCAAAGCACCACACTATCACCGCGACTCTCTCGCCATTCCCTTTTTAGGTAACACTACCGCTTCTGCGCTGAACGACCATTCCGCTGCATGAGCATGTGCAAGCCTAAGCGCAACGTTACACGGAACAGAGGCACGGTCGCTGTCGCCGCTACCAAGAGTTGTGGTTTACTATGCCCGCCAACCCGGAATTGAGGCTGTGCACACGCACGTCAGATGCACGCGGGCCGGAACGATCAACAAATGTTTGAAAATAGCAGATGATGCATAAGGGGGGAGATGAAGGAATTAGCAAGTCGATAGTTTACAGCTGCAGCAGTGATCACAATGCGTCGTTGTAGAACAAAGAGTATGAGGAGGGGTAATGGTTTGGGGGGTCTGGAAGAACGGTGAGCTCGCAGGTGCAGGTGCAGGTGCAGCTGACTGGAGGTCGCATACAGGCCAGCGAAGACGGATGTCTTCGCCTAATCGATCGACTGAAGTCATGCATCCCATGATGCTCCTACTGCAGGTGCAGTATTTGACTTTTGCGTTGAGTGAGTTGATGCTCGTTTTCCGGTCGGGATTTCGGCGGCCCTTCCCAAGATTTCTCTGTGCCCACGCTGGACACCTTGAGCTAGACCTGTGAGCGAGAGCGCATGACTTTTCTTTCCAGCTCCTTATCAGTCATGCCGTAGTCATCGTACGACACCTGTGCAAGGCGGAGTGGACTGCTGCTGTGCAGAAGTGTAGAGCATTTCGTTGATGTTCATCCCTAAGAAGCCTAGTGCAACTCCAGAATGATGACGTCATGATCGCGTGTCTCCTCCGCGCGACTACCCAGGTATTGATCGATGTAGCTGTTCACATTCACCGTTGACTACATGCTGTAGAGTCACATTTCTACGACTACCTAAAGCATTCTCGTTATCGATGTACCTTCAATTGATCGCTGCCTAGGCCAAAACGGAACGTCCTGCTACTAAAACCTTGGAAGTATCGACGCCTAGTACCCTTCATTCTGTATTTGATGTGGAAACAACAGGGTAATCGCTGGGCGTGCCTTGATCAATTTTCTCACACTCTCGAATGTCTCTTTCCCGTTTCATGTCATCAACCCAGCCCTTGAAGACAATCTCCCCCTTTTGTGGCCGTTGCATTACGCGGTGCATATACTGATTCTCCGCCGCCAACCAAGGCGGCTGGTAATGTTTGACAGGTAACTCCGGTAAGTTTAGCCTTGCGCTGGCTTCCCAGTCCTGATCGGTGATGGCTCTAGGTTCTAGTCCTGGTACCCAGAGAACATCTCCTCCAGCAAATTCGCCAGTGTGATCAACCCAAACTTTACGTGCGAGCATGAGCATGTACGTCTCATATGTATCCGCCACTATGAGACCATCCAGGTTGTGGAAGCGACCGAACTTTACGGCGAAGCCATCTAGCAAGACACAGATCTGCCAGTGTTCGCGCTTGGTGCTGCGCGATAGATCTTCCAGCATCCGGATCAGTGCGCTGCCGCTTAGTACTCCATCTTTCCAGCGTTCCTCACCAGTATCGCGCACAAGAGGAGCTGTCCCACGAACAAATCCGGGAGGCTGGCCAACATGATTGTTCCGAGGATCTAGTTTCATAGGTTGCTTCAACCTTGGAGGCGCTGGAGGGGGCGAGCTTTCCGGCAAGGGCGTTCTGTGTGAAGGGTCTGTCCAGAATGGCGACTCTTCCGTAGTTACGGCTTGCGAAGATGGAGGCTTTCGAGGTCTAAGGCGCGACAGAGCCTCTGGCGGCGGGTCCTGCATCTCCACATCGTCTGGCGAGTAGTCAAGATCCATTGGATCATCTGTGATGGGTTCTTTCCCTCGACCACGCCCACGAGATCTTAGATTCCGTGACATTCGATGAGATGTTGCGGTGAGGTTGTTATGAGATGATGATGATGATGATGATGATGATGGTCTTGCTGACTCCGTGACTAGAAGTACGTGAGTCCTCTCACTATTTGAAGCAGAAAGGTTTGCTATGCTTAAAAATACCACGTCACATGAGGAGTCATCAGCGAGACAAGTATGAACCACGAGACGCGCATTGCATCCTGGTCAATTTACGCATCACAAAAGCGTGATGTAGCACTTTCCGCCTTCAACACAACAATGGAAGGGCTATCGTGATAAAAACGATCGCTGAGACCGATCGCAGGCTACTCAAACAAGAGAACGGGTCCGTTGAACCTGCATTTTGCCACCTTCCACAACGTTAACCAAATTTCCCCTGGGCCCATCGTTGACCACACCCCTGAAAATTTCACACCAACGGCGATATCCTGGGACTGCGATGCCCAAAATTTGCAAGAAGCTATCCGTAGACTATCAACCAAAACCGAGGGAAAAATGGACAGTAATCCAGAAGCTCGGTAGCATGGGCGGAGGTCTGAACGGCGGCATAAGCAAAGTCCAATGTAGCAATCCAAAAGCTCGGGTTATGGTATTCATTGAGAAGCGCTTCAACAAAGAGGCGTTCGAGAACGATGTACCGCGCAAAGAAATCCAGATCTTGCACCAGGTCCAGGACCACGAGAATATTACTAAGATGGTGGACCACTTTTTTGATAAGCGCAAACCAGACGGAACTGTGTATCTGGAGTATTGTACAGTAGGTAACCTGGCAGACGTCGCGCTCAATGTTGCTATGGGCGCCCACGTCAACGAACATAAGATATGGAGATGGTTCTTTGAACTGTCGTCTGCCCTTACGTACTGTCACCGTGGCCCGCAGCCAAATATGACCGATGACGAGATATTCCTGTCCGGTTGGAGTAAAATATATCATCGCGACATCAAGCCTGCGAACATCCTACTGACGATGGAAGGTGATACAGTTATAGCGAAGCTTGCCGACTTTGGATTAGCAGTAACTGAAGACTATCTGTCGCTTGAGCGTAGTATAGAACGCGCTATAATGGAACCAGGGGGGACGCCTGGGTTCGACGCTCCAGAATTTCCACTCTTCAGCGGCGCTTCAGATGTCTGGCAACTAGGCTTGAGTATGGTCTGCGCATGTACCGGAATCGTAAGCCCGCGAAGCAAAGAGTTCCCCCATGGTCAAAGATGGGACAAAGAACAACCGGCAGGCTCCAGCTATACCAGAGAACTCAGTAGCATATTGAAGAAAGCTCTAGAGAAAGACTTTGTAGAGCGGGTGCGCATATATCCCCTGTTGTTGAACATCAAGGCTGAATATGCGAAAATAAGGGAACGGCTTCCTGTCGACAAACGACTGCATAGAGTCTACGATCTAGCCGAAGAGCACGGCAATGGGAAGCCGCCAGCGGGACATCGCAGACCAAAGCATCATTTCACGAAGTGGGAGGGCCCGGCTCGTCCCGGACATACAGGTGACCATGGCAACCCAATGCCATTTTACGGAGCGGGATTCGATGAAGATGAGCTGGACCAGTTCAACCCCGGAATGGGATTTGGGCCTTATATGCCCGGTGATTTCGACCCGAGGCGCATGAATGCATTCAACTAGGCTTTATGATGAGTCCAAAGGCGTGATAAGGTAGCTGAAGCGGTCGGAGATAGCCGCATCATGTATTTCAAGAGTTGTGCCAACCCCACGACTCTTCGAGTTGGTTAATGGCCGCTGTGGGAGGAAAGCCATGCGATCGTTCACAGGCATACCATAGATCGCGAAGCTGTTCTTGATCCTCACGAAGCGTGAAGCGATCGCCGACTGGGAATGTTAGATATAGAAGCAATACAAATGTTACACACGACTACTCCTCGTCATAGTCGCGTTAGGGGATCGGAATGAGCTTACCTAATGCGATCGCGAAGCAGGCAACAAACTTGCAAGGAAACCATTTGGAGTTCGATTGGGCCACTCCGCATAGTGTGCGGACGTTGTCTTGCACGGCTCTATCCACAATAGCGCGTGATGCTTTGTGTGCTGGTCCAAGTTGCGGAATCGTCGGATCATGTACAATCAGCAGCATATGAGCTAAGAGGTTATACTGGGTGCCCATAACGTGGGTCTTTTGGTGGAAACGAATGTCCGGGAAGTTTCTCCCGCTACCGTCTCGATCTTGCCGGAAATAGTATGGGTCGAAGCTGTCAGGCCTACACTGTGTCCAGGATCTGTTCTCGTCCATCAGTTGGTTGTAGCGAGCAATGCTGTTTCTACCTTCCCCAAAGACGAAGTTGCTCACGTCGCCGAGGTGAGCAATCGTTCGTGTAGCCCAGATGGAGTCGTTAGCCGGCTCGAGTGAGCGATCAGCGGGGAAGATGTGTAATTTAAACGCGCGTTGCGTCATGAGTGAGATCCACAGTTCCTGACGAAAAGCAGCCCAGTAGATAGCCTGCCGCCGATCAGGTCCAGATGTTGCAGCGTATGATTGTTCAGCAGCACGGATTATAGCCTGGGTGCCGAACAAATGGCCCTGGGGGTCGGAGCCGATAATCGAGATGTTCATCTCTTCCAAGAGTCGCAAGATGACGGTTGCAGCAAGTAACGGCTCTTCTTTGATGGTGACGTTGTCGTTCAGCGCTGGAATCAGCGTGTCAAAGCATCGCTGATAGTAGGCATCTGCGATGTAAGGGTCGAAGTCGGTGGTTCGACTAAGCTGACGAGCAGATAGCGCAAGAATGGCGTTCCTGAATAAGAGTGATGATTAGTCGATTGCTAACGCATATACGCAGTAGACGCACTACATACATCAAGGTACTATTTTGCTTAGCCATCTGGACGATGTGAACCCCAAAATGATCTCTGGTGTCGACCATGTCGAACTTGCATTCGTCAGTCAAAGGCCCATTCTCCGGACAAAATACTCACGAATAATGCGACGTTCTCGATGTAATGCTGCAGCAGCATTGCCTCTTGCTCATGCTCCAACGGCCATAGGACAGGTTCACCGGGAGGCTGTTGATACACAAAGGTACTAACTCCCTCTTCCTGATGTGGCTGGTACGTGCTTGTGTTCGCTCGGTGGCCATGTAATGCTGGAGGCGCAGGTGCTTGGTGCTGCACAGGAGATTCCGAATTTAGTAACGACAGGACTGTGAGGTTTTCCGTAGGGGTGAACAAGGTTGAGTTTGGAGTCAAAGCAGTACCCGGAGCACTTCCAGGGGTACAGCTGGGTGATGGCGCATGAACTGAAGGGCTGTCGAATGGAGAATAGCCATCCTGCACATATTGAGAGCGAATTTCGCTCGATTCGTCCAAAAATTGGACTGCCAAATCGTGTCAGCGACAGATGCAACAGACCCGGGTAAGTTCTCACTTCGCGGAGGGTACGACACCCAAGGTTGTTCAACACTGAACGAATCTGAGATTGACGACCGCCGGAACCGTCTACCGCTTTCGTAGACGCATTCTTTCTTCGCCTGCGCACACCTTGCACATGCCGGCTGCTTGCCATCACCTATCGCAACGTCATCAGTATGCCGGCATCACTAGCGAGAGGCTTCCAGCTTACATCGATAATGACGCGTGCGGCATCGATTGCTACGAACGGTTAAGCGATGTCCAGGTCGTGCGCAAAGGATGCGAAGTCTCGTACCATGGCATTTGCGATAAACCTTAACGTAGTCGTGGAATCGCGAAGGATGCGTGTGCGGGCTAATTTACGAAGCTGGGACACGCGCGATAACGATGCGCAAAGGGGTCCAGGACGAGGAATGCCCGCCGAGATGAGCAGAGTCGTGCCCAACCATGTTCCACCGGTTACTAAGGACGGGCTTTGATGATCGCGTCCGCGGCTTCGGAAAATCCAGATAGCGTGTCACAGCGGCGACTAGCCCCGCTTCCTACCCCACATCTTGGCAGGGACGAAAGAGGTAAGTCTCCCCGGCACACTCGTCTGTCGTGTACAGATATGGCAGTGGCGATAGGTTTACACCACGTTTACGTTGCCGGAAGATTTTAGCAATAAGCTAGACACCCAAATATTGTCTCTCCCTGTACGGACAATTCGAAGCCGATTGCTACTTCATCACATCATTCATCATGCCCCATGCACTATCACCGGAGCAAGACGTGCCGAGCTTCAACGGCAAGAAACTCTTTGTCAACGATGGTTTGCTTCGACCAAGTCAAGTCGGAAAGTTGAAGGAGTCGTCTCCAGATATGCCCATGGAAGAGCTGCGTCAGCGCTACAGCGAAGATGGATATGTCTTCCTCAAGGGGTTACTACCAAGGAACGATGTCCTCAAAGCCCGCGAAGAATACTTCAAGGCGCTTGCACCGAGCGGCGTGTTGAAACCTGACACCCAGCCAGTAGATGGCATATTCGATCCTGAGAAGGACGCGGCAGACTTCCCTGGTATTGGCGCTGGTGCGGTCCCTGGGAATGGAAAGCCGGGAGAAGCGACAGCGGAGAAGTTCGTTAGTCTGGCGCTCGAAGCGCACTATGCAGATTGGTACAAAGAGACGTTTTGCAAGCACCCTGCGCTGAAAGACTTCATTGCCCGGATGACAAACTGGGGCGACAACACTCTAGGTGTCCGTAGAAGCTTATTGCGCAACAACACACCAGGAAACAAGGCCATCGGCGTACATTATGATCAGATCTTCCTCCGGCATGGCGAGCCGACGAGTGTCACTGCCTGGGTACCTATGGGCGATGTAAGCTTGACTGGAGGAGGCTTAATCTACTTGGAGAAAGGTGAGTCCTCTACTTCGTGATGGAAGATTCAGCAAAGTTAACGAGTCTGGTAGGTCATACGCTTGGCCGTGAGGTAGAGGGAGACTTTAACCGAAAGGCAGCGGAAAGTGGATTGAGCGACGAAGAAACGAAGAACGCTTTCAATCAGAACATGCTATCAACAGGGCTGCTCGCTGACGGTCCACGAGAGTATTCTGACACCTTTGACAGGCGTTGGTTGGTGACGAACTACGAAGCGGGCGACGTAGTCCTCCACAACCCGTTTGCGGTAGGTACCCTTGGGTTTGAGCTGACGTATATCTTGGCTAATAGTAGTCAGATACACGCATCCACATTGAATTATGACCCAAATAACGTGATTAGAGTTGGTACTGATCTGAGATTCGTCGATGGCAGCAAGCCATGGGACACTGTAAGTAAGATGTGCACATAAATCTACATGTTGTTGACCAGCATAGCGATGGGACAAAGACTACGAGTTCAACGACGGTGTGTAAGCGGGTCAATCCTGGGTATGTCTTTGGCCGCGATGGACAAGCGACTGGGATTGTAGTTGCGATAAAGCGTAGTTCACAATCATCATTCCTCAGACGTTCAAGCCCATACACGTCTCCACCCGTCAATATGGTACTTTGCTTGCCATAGCTTTCCAAAACTCACATCGCCCGCCCCTTCCACCCTCCCATGCATTTGCATCGGCCAAATTGATCTGGTTGCTGACGCCCGGATCGCTATAAACGTAGTAGTAAAGGTCGTCTGTCGCTTGCACCAAGGAAGGGATGCCGCCTGTAGCATTCATATTCAGTAGTACCGGCTGGTTTTCGTTCCACTTTGGCCAAGAGATGTCACTCGAACCATGCCCAGTCGCGGGCGGGATCGTCGAGTTTGCGACACCGCCCTTCGCGTCTTCGAAGCTTATCACCGGCGAGTTCTTTGTGATGAAATTGCCCCAAATCCTACGGAAAGCGTGCTTGAAGCTTTTGCCGGGCGTTGGAGTTCCGCTCCATAGCGCTTGCAGATCATAGCCATGATAACTTGGAGGCGCACTAAACTGATACTTCCAGCCCTCTGTAAAAGCTCCAGCAGCCCAGTAGCTGGGACAGACGAAGGCGTACTCCGCAAAAACGTTCAAGAGACGTTGTTGATTTCCTGTCCCAAATTCACTCATGTTGAGTGCCGTGGGTAGACCAGTACCAGATGTAGCGAAGCGCGTAGCATTGGGCTTCACGTCAAGGTCATCCCCAGAAAATGAGTATGTTTCTTCCAGTCGGGCTTTGTCGGATGCAGAGAAGTCGGGAAATGTCAGATCAACGTAGTCTCGGAAATCCTGCAGCGTGCGCGCGGTGGGAGGCGAGAGTGGCACGCCTTCGTTTGCCATGTTACCCGATAAGACACGCCTTCCCTTTAGCGACTTTGAAGTAAGGGTTGTGGAGAGGCGGTCCTGGACAAATGTACCGTCGGTTACTGGCAAGAAAGCGAAGGTACCGAAAGGGCCAGCTTCCGAAACTCTGGCGCTGGCATTCTGAAGAACGATGGTATCCGCTGCGCGGAGGCAATCCATACTTTCCTTCGTTTTTGAGCAGCCAGATGCTTCAAGGAACGCCGCATAGGCTTCTGCGGGTTGTTCATCGTCATAATCATGCTGATAGGGTACCCATGGACTCGCTGTGATAACATTACGGAAGAGGTCTTCTCTCTGCCGCCCACCGTAGGCTTGAGATTGGTAGAGAACAGCGCCTGCTCCTGCACTCTCGCCTGCAATAGTGACCTTGCTAGGATCGCCCCCAAATTTGGCAATGTTAGCTTGGACCCACTTCAATGCAAAGTTCATGTCAAGGAGCCCAGCGTTGAGCGCACCATGCTGCTTCACCTCTGGACTCGAGAGAAACCCGAAAGCGCCCAGGCGGTACTGTATTATGACGCTGACGAAGCCATTCTTGTTCGTGGCCATAAATTCGCTGGGGTCTAGCCCAGAGGCGCTGAATAGCCCGTACCCTCCACCATCTTGATCCTGTTAGCGAGGTCCGCTACGCTTTGTGCATTGCTTGGAAAGTGACTTACGGATCCAGAAGAAGACAGGCAGGTTCTTCGCGTGAGCTGGCGCGTATACGTTCAAGAACAAGCAATCCTCGTTTCCGATCGCGGAGGTGAAGCCATAAGCCGCTGGGGTCTGTGAAGAGGCGCCAGTCTGCGGACAAGCTGGTGGATCGCTCAAAGCTGATGCTGCCGTTCTATTCCGCACAGGGGCTTGAGGAGCCGCAAATCTGAGCTTTCCGAGTGGCGGCGCTGCATACCGAATACTGCCGCGCAAGGTCAACCTTTGGAGGATTGGGAAGATCTCAGACGGAAAAGTACCTTTTGAAGATATTGATGCTGGTATTGGCATCATGACTCCCCTCATAGACAGCGTAGCCCAGGTCAACCTTGGGTGCTTTCACAGCCCGCGGTATCGGCTCAGCGCCAGATCCAGCGACAAAGAGCGCAAGCGCCAACAAGATCCCCTGACATCTCATTTTGACTGTTGTTTGTGCTCGGAAAAGTATGAGCGGTCGGGAAAGGTGTCACCGTCGCTAGAGGCTGATGTAGACCGTGGCACAAAGCCCAAGGTTGCACGCCGTTGAAAATCCTCGCTGCATGTCAGCATCTTGCAGATGCTCACGATAAGCGAAACTCTTCGTCGTGAGCATGGCTCAATGTGCGCGCGATCGATGCGTTGATTGGCATGCTCGTACGGATGTCCTCCGTTTCGGTACGCTTGCCGTCTCCCGCCTGCCGCAAGAGCCCCAGCCAGGGGGCATAGAGCTGCAGACCTCGGAGGTGCAGATTGTCGTCATTGGACTCGATTTCTAGACACTCTGTTCAGATCCTCATGATTCGCGACCCAGGGTCTGAAATGCCGAAGACGCGCATGTAACGTGTTGACATTGTATAGTGTTGGACATGCATGCTGGGAATTGTGGTGGATGGTAGCCTCTAGGCTAACGGATCCGGCGCGTGGTGCGCTCAGCGATGACGTAGACGACGCGTCGGCGAACAATTGCCAGCTTTGGGAATATCGAGACTCCGAGACGTTTC